TCTGCCGAGAACCTGGTCTGGGGAGGAAAGACCTCATCCATCATTCTTTTTTTTTTTTTTAAAGAGTAAAAGAAGGATAACGTAATAATAGGGGGGGCTTACCAAATTATAGACAAAGTGGTAGGAAATTTTTTTTTTTTTTTTTTTTTTTTGGTTTTTCTCCAGTACCGGGAACCGAACTCACGACCTTGCGCTTGCCAGGCAGGCGCTTTTGCCGCTGAGCTAAATCCCCAGCCCCGGTAGGAAATTATTGATGGTTATTGTTTTACATATTGTTATCTACAAGATAGCTTCTCAGGGAAACAAATAGACAGATAATAGTGAGTTACAGACCAAAGAGGTAGGAGATTATCAATAGTTGTTGTACTTTACGTTGGTATCTTCATCCATCATTCTTGAGCCTACTCTTGGCCGCTGCCCTGGGCCACGGCCTCCCGACAGCCCCAGCCCATTGTGCATGCCCGCGGCAGCTGCCTGCCAAGCGCTTCTGCTCGGGTCAGGCAGCCCAGGGCAGCGGGGACTCCCTTCTCCACCACTCACTCTGCATGAGACAACACATGAGGGCCTCAGGTTTCTGCTCCCGTGCACGCTGATAATCGTCACGCGTCCCTTAAATGCCAGCCTGAGAGCTACCGAGGCTATTTCTAAAGGCATCAATTAAATGATCCAGTGCTTTCAATTCCTTTCAGGAATATCGTAGAGTTTAGTTTTCAAAGAAGTCATGTTGGGAGGAATAACAAAAGCTAGGGACTGCTACCTTTGCCTTCTACAACTCCACTATTTACAAAAGCGTGTACTGGCAGTTTTACTTCTTAAGGTGCGAGGTTGAAATGAGTGGCGTAGCTAGGAGTGCACCGGCCTTTCCTGCAAGTGCACGGATACGCCTGTCTCTCAGCTAACTGCCTCTGTGGATTGGCTGTGACCCAGTTTCTGCACAAAGGCATTATCCGGTGATGTTCAGTGATGGGCTGAGCAGCTGACCCTCCAAGGTTGGAAACCCCAGGGCTGACATGGTGTAGCTGTCAGCCTCTCCGTGTCTCCTGAGCACAGGAGCAGTGACGCTCGGCCTGCCTTCCCCGTCCAGGGGCAGGGCCGGGAGACAGAAGCGCGTGGGGTTTATTTTTCCCACCGCTTTCCATTCTTGGTGCGCTCACTCTTCTCTTCCTGTGACCTTTGCAGTGAAAGCTCATTGTGCGCTGTCGGGTGCTCTGCTGGTAGCGCCTTTCATGCTGTCTTTTTTTTCATAACCGATTGGTATTTTTTTCCACTTTAAATATTTTCTTGGTACACTGTAGATATACACAGTGATCCCTTTCATCACAGGGAGTTTGTACCTGTACATGGTTCATCTTGCTTATTCTTTTCCCATTTCCCTCCCCTCCCTGCAGCCCCTCTTCTCCCTTCTTATTTACAAAAGCTCTGTTTCCATTTCTTCCTTCTGTTTTTTTATCCCCCTGATGCCTTTCCCCTTCTCATTTGAACATTTTCTTCTCATTTCCCAGTATCTATTACACATTTTGGTTCTTATTTACACTTTTAGTTTCTCACACCAGAGAAAGCATACAATATTTACATGTGTATCCAATTTATTTCACTTAAGAGTATGGTCTCAGGGTGCAGCCATTTAGCTAGAAATGTCTCAGACTTATTCTTTCTGGCTGAATAGTACTCCATTCACCACACTTTAATCCATTCACCAGTTCACAGGCATTTGGGCTGTTTCCAAAACTTAGCTATTACAAACTGTGCCACTATGAACATGGGTGTGCATATATCGCTGTGGTGTGATGCTTTTCATTCTTTCAGGACTCCCATGTTGTTTTTCAGGCAAAAGCCGTAACTGCTACCAGAAGTCCCTTTTTGGATCTAACCATAGACCCCAAACAATGAAGTTTTCCAGGAGAATATAAGGAAAATGAGGCCATTAATTAACATTAGACAATATTCTCTTCCACCTGCATTTTTCTGGGCTCAGAGTCTTCATGTGAAAAATAAAATGCTCACACTGTCCATTTTTTTCCACGGCTGAAGCTGTCTTTTGACTGTGTCTTAACCAGACAGCTTTCCGGAAGCCAAAGGTTGTAACCCATGCTGAGAGGTGGGGTTTTTAGCCACCTGCAGCCTTGAGGGTGAGGCAGTTTGAGGGGACCTCAGCCTGCCCCAGAATCTGGACCCAGGAACCTCACCAGCATGAAGAAGCTCTGAAGGTCCAGGCCCCGGATGGGCAGACTGGAGAATAAGTATTTCCGTGCATCACTGTGACTGTGTCCTAGCGGGTCCTCTCTGGTTGTCAGAGTGTTTCAATTCTGCTAGACAGAAGTATTGATATTTCCCCTCAGTTCTTTAAAATGATACACAGTGTGGTCAGAAAGGTACAATGAATGTTTAGATTCTTAAAAAATTTACAGTAAAAGTTGCAGTGCCATTAATCCCCCTCAGAACACTTCCCCTGGCTTCAGACCCAGGTACCCTACTGTTCCTGCCCCTTGGCGAGCATCTCTAGTTATGCTGTCATGGCCGCTCTGATTTCCTGAATCAGGTGCAAGCATCTCCCTCTCACAGTCATTCTTGATTTTGGGAAGAGCCGGAGGTCACATGGTGCCAGACCCAGTGAATGGAGAGGATGTGGACACACTGTAGTGTTACTTTGCAGAAATCGCTGTGCCAGAGGTGGCGTGTGACGTGACACTTTGTCATGGTGGAGGGTGAAACTGTTTGCCCATTTCTCAGGATGTTTTCTGTGCACACCATTTCGTAAAGGCTCTAAAAAGCCCTTGTGATATTCAGAGTTCACCATAGCATTCCTGGGTACAAACAAAGCTCACACAATTTTACTATGGTCAGAAAACACAAATCCGTATCACCTACCTTCATGTTGGATCTTGATTTTTTTTTTTTTTTTTTTTTTTTTGGTTTTTCT